AGAGTTTTCTGACAGACCGAGAGTTAACAGTAGTATACCACCTAGCCAAAGCCGACAGTTTCACACCCAGTGCAGGAGTACCACAAGGAAGTGTAATCAGTCCAATTCTTTTCAACATCTATGTAGGCAAACCAGATGCAGGTCTAACAACAATATCACAATATGCCGACGACATAGCAATTTACACAAGTTCAAATACAAGCAAGAATGCAACACACAGACTACAAGGTGGCCTAAACAAACTTGAAGCATGGTGCCAGAAATGGAAGATAGACGTGAACCCGGAGAAGACGAACTTTATACTTTTTACAAGACAGAAGAAGAATGACTGCAAATTAATGCTACAGAACGAAGAAATCGAACCACCAACAACCATTAAATTTCTGGGAATTACATTAAATGACAACCTGACATGAAAGACTATCTACAAAGAATTGAAATCAATTTTCTACTAGTACTACGAGCCAAAGGCATCAAATTCAAATCTTAAAGTTTTTGTACCAATCAACAATTCTACCAGTTTTCACATACGCATCACCTTCGTGGGCAAAAACATCTACAAGGCACTTACAAAGATTGCAGAACAGAGCACTAAAAATAGCCTACCATCTACCAGTAACAACACCAACAGACGAAGTACATAAAATCACCAGGATGAAGACGATTCAAGAAGAACTAACAAGACTAAACTCAAATTACCTCAAAAGAGCTGCACAGACAAACCCCAAGATACAAGAACTAATCCGAGACACTCTACAATAATCAACAGACACATACGCACACAGATTCACACCAGTACAAGCAATTTTCCAACAACACCTTTCCGCAAGATGAACAACACCCGGAAGTTAACAGCTTAAAGAGCAGCTGGTCTGCTTCAGAAGCTTAATTGGTCACAGACCAACACATACTTATCATCGATCCACAACTCAACACCGTCAATCTACAGACGCAACACCACGACAACACCACTACCAGACAACGACAATCTACAACTCAACAATCGGATGTACAAGAGCCTTCTCTCCACTGCCTTCACTACACCGTGCACACAACTGCCCCAGGAAAGCACTCTTTTTCAAGAGTCATAAGTCGGCCGATAAAGCCTGTATAAAGGTGCTATTGGAACCAAGTCCCAAACCGGCACTTGCAAACCCAACGGTGCGCAGCCAACCTGGGTTCTGACTTGGATCGGTCGCAGTCCTGATTGGCTTTTTGTCCCTCCAAGAAAACAAGATATCTGTGTTGGTGCCGGCTCTCGGACAGGAGAGAGTGTCACGGCCGCAGATCTAGAAGTTGGTTGGTCCCTATAACACCCTAGTCTAAGCAACACATTGCGAAAGCGGTGCTAGCTTTCTAGGAGGCAGAGATACGTTGCGACCGGGTCTGCGATTGCTTACTTGGACAACCTCTACTCTGTCGTTATTGTTGGACCTACCAAGAGTAACCCGACCGAAGAGGGTCTAGAGTGAAGAAGAAAGTGCCCAGAAGGACGAAGAGGGTGCAAGAAGAAGGGCTACCAAGAGTAACCCGACGAAAAAGAGCCTAGAGGGAAGAAGAAAGTGCCCAGAAGGACAAAGAGGGTGCAAGAAGAAGAAAGTACTAGACGAAGAGGGTGCAAGAAGGAGCATTCCTGCTCACATAGTGAGCGAAGAAACCCCCCCCCCCCCCACAATGCCATCATCCCTTAACTCCCAAATGGCATCAGCAATCGAAAACTACGACCAAAGCGATGACGAACCCAATTCCGAGTTAATAATCGAAGGAAGCCTGACACCAACAAGCAATGATCAAGAAAAGGCCTCGCCTCAAAGGCAACTGACACTGGGACCAAACCAAGATCAACATGCTGATTACATCACAGTAAAACGAAAGCAGTTCAAGAATGTGCCCAAAGGGCAACCGACAATGCATTCAGAAAACTGGCAAGAAAATCTTGATGACGCTTCGCCTAAAAGGCAACCGACAATGGAGCAAAGTCAAGCAACTAATCGAAAGCGCAAAGCGGAAGAATCACAAGCTCAAAGCAACAAAAGACTAAATATCACAAACATTATCTACATAAGCTTTGCAAAAAACAAAATTCCAAGCCGAATGACTTTCACCAAATCAATACGTAACCTGACTAAAGTACAATTTCCTGGTCAAACCAGGGACCTCAAGACTGGCTTAGGCTATTCAATCAAGCCTGAATCGCCTCAAATTGCCCAAATTATCACCCAAGCCAACCTCGAAGTCCTGTTTCCCGACACAGAAGTAAAAATCGGAGGCAGACAACACAAGACAAACCAACCCAAGAAGAAACAAACTTCCAGCTTTGTTATCTCAAGAGTCAGTGAACAACTCAGCGAAGCTGACATCCAATCTGAACTTGAGGAGATCAACAACATCAAGGTGGCAAAGCTCTTCCGAATCCAAAGCAGAAGCCTAGACAAGCCAACACAACTCATCAGAGTTTTCACAGATGATGACCTCGCCTGCAGAAAGGCAATCGACAATGGGGTCTACATCTGCAACGAACTGAAACGATGCGAACCATCCAAAACAGAACCACGAGTAACACAGTGTTACAAATGCCAAAATTTCGGACACATGGCCATTAACTGTCCAAACCAGCAACGATGCCTCAGATGTGGCGACAACCACGCAGTCAGAGACTGCAGAATTCCAAAGCAGCAAGTTAAATGCATCAACTGCAGAGGCGAACACCCGGCGCAGTACAAAGGCTGCCCGGTTTACAAGACAGCTCAAGTCGAAGCCCAAAAAGCACAACCAAAAGTGCAAAGCTACGCTCAAGTAGTCAAACCACAACCAACCACAACCGTAGTCAAACCACAACCAATCACAACCGAAACACAACCAACCATGAGCAAAGAGGACATACAGCAGTTCATTAAAGAAACTGTTGAAACTACAATAGCCGATCAAGTCGAAAAAGCAGTGCAGAAAGCCTTGGACGAAAAGATAACCGAAGCAATCACCAAAGCCGTCGCTAAATCATGTGAGAAAATTAACGAAACAGTCAGCAATGCAGTTAAAACTCAATTCGAGAAAATAGATTTCACTGGACTGTTAACATCAAATATCGAAGCAAAACAAATTACAAAAACACACAGAGAAACAAGCAGCAGCAGACATAGTAACTCCCGAAACCAAAACAACAACAATAAACCAAAATGAATAGACTCAAGATAGCGCAACTCAACTGCAGAAGTATAAACAAGCACAAACTGGAGATCCAAGATCTTCTAGCGAAACACAACATCACTATAGTCTGCTTCAACGAAACAAAAACCAAATATCCACCAAAACTACAAAACTTTAACCTTGCAGCAGCAATCTGTGACAGTGTCACAGGCTCGGCAATTTACATCAGAGACAACATACAGTACCAAGTATTGGAACAAGCACAACACATAAACCAAAACCACAGAGAATGCAGAAAAGTATGCGAGACGATCAAGATCAACACAATGGGTATCACTGTAACAAGTGTTTACCTTAGCCCAAACGCAGAGATAGAGAACGTGACTTTCAATGGAAAAGATCCAAAACACATCATCGTTGGAGACTTCAACGCACAGATCAAATCTGTCAACCCAAAAGCAAGAGCAACCAACAGCACGGAGAGTACCGGAGGAAAGGCACCCAGGAAGCAACTGGCTACCAAGGCTGCAAGAAAGAGCGCACCTTCCACCGGCGGTGTGAAGAAGCCTCACCGAAACAGACCAGGAACCGTTGCCCTGAGGGAGATCAGGAGATACCAGAAGTCCACTGAGCTGTTGATCCGAAAGCTGCCCTTCCAGCGACTGGTCAGAGAAATCGCCCAGGACTTCAAGACTGACTTGCGGTTCCAGAGCACTGCCATCATGGCTCTGCAGGAAGCCAGCGAGAGCTACTTGGTCAGCCTGTTCGAGGACACCAACTTGTGCGCGATCCACGCCAAGAGAGTCACGAGCATGCCCAAGGACATCCAGTTGGCTCGACGAAACCGAGGAGAGCGAGCTTAAGCTCAAGGTGTACTCCACACCAACCAAACCGGCCTTTTTAAAGGCCACCCAACTATCAGTTCTTTATTTCTTCACAGTGAGCTTAGCTCAAGCTAACTTCGACCAGAGCAAGCTCAAGCTGGTATAGGTTGAGCTCTGCTTCCCCCTCATTGGGGTGACGCAGCTGGAAATTGAGCTCGAGCTAGCTGTTCAATTGCTCCCGTACGTAGCCTAACTTTTTTGAGCTTCGAGCTCTGAGAGCTCGGCAAGCTACCTCATAGAGCTCAGGCAAGCTTGTATGATCTTGATTTAAATCACAGAGCTCGAATAAGCTCTGTGGACTGACCAGTTTAAGCTAGTACATCTTGTGTGAGCTCAAAATTTTTTCAATTGCTCCCGTACGTAGCCTAAATATTTTTAAGTTCGAGCTCTCAGAGCTCGGCAAGCTACCTCAGAGAGCTCAGGCAAGCTTCTACGAGCTTGATTTTAATCACAGAGCACGAATAAGCTCTGTGGACTGACCAGTTTAAGCTAGTACACCTTGTGTGAGCTCAAAGTTTTTTCAATTGCTCCAGTACGTAGCCTAACTGTTTTCAAGTTCGAGCTGTCAGAGCTCGGCAAGCTACCTCAGAGAGCTCACGCAAGCTTCTATGAGCTTGACTTCAATCACAGAGCACGAATAAGCTCTGTGGACTGACCAGTTTGAAATGGTACTCCTTGTGTGAGCTCAAAATTTTTTCAATTGCTCCCGTACGTAGCCTAACGTTTTTGAAGTTCGAGCTCTCAGAGCTCGGCAAGCTATCTCAGAGAGCTCAAGCGAGCTTCTATGAGCTTGATTTAAATCACATAGCTCAGATAAGCTCTGCGGACTGACCAGTTTGTGCTAGAAGGTCTTTTGGGAGCTCCTAAAAAATCAATTGCTCCTTTACGTGCCTAACTTTTTTTATACTTGAAATATTTTTTGTTCCGGTTGAGCTCTGCTTCTTATCAGCTCTCGCATTGGCTGTTGGTATGAGGGCCAATGAGAGAGCAGAGAAGTCGGTCAAAAAATGATAGGTACCTAGCGATTTTTTGCCAATCCCAACCCCAACTTCTACTTCAAATTCTACAACAACTACAACTGCAACAACCATGTCTGGACGAGGAAAGGGAGGAATAGGACTTGGCAAACGATGAGCAAAGAGGCACCGAAAGATCTTAAGAGATAACATCGAAGGCATCACCAAGCCAGCCATCAGACGTCTTGCTTTACGAGGAGATGTCAAGCGTATCAGTGGACTGATCTACGAAGAGACCCGAGGAGTGCTCAAGAACAGCTTGGAGAGCGTGAACAGGGATGTTGTAACCTACATCGAGCATGCCAAGAGGAAGACAGTTGTAACCATGGACATCGTCTACGCCCTCAAGAGACAAGGCAAGACCTTGTACGGATTCGGAGCTTAAGAAACTTCTTACCAGCTGCTCTCCTAGCTGCAGCACCAAACAGGCCACCAACTATCTTAGTTCTTAAGTCAACCTCTTCTAGAGCTCAAACTAGTTCAGCTAGTTAGTCTAGAGCTTTCAGCGTATCTAAGCTAACTTAAAACGCTAGCTCGATTCTGATTGGCTCTCCCATCTTGGTGGTCGATTTGAACTTGTTACCTCAAGACAGGGAGCCAAATTGGGAGTAAAGTCAAAAGTCAATCGACAACACCACTGGCAACACAATCTACAACCCAACAATCCGATGTACAAGAGCTTCTCTACACTGCCTTCACTACACCCAAGGAAACAACTGCCCCAGGAAAGCACTCTTTTTCAAGAGTCATAAGTCGGCCGATAAAGCCTGTATAAAGGTGCTATTGGAACCAAGTCCCAAACCGGCACTTGCAAACCCAACGGTGCGCAGCCAACCTGGGTTCTGACTTGGATCGGTCGCAGTCCTGATTGGCTTTTTGTCCCTCCGAGAGAGTGTCACGGCCGCAGATCTAGAAGTTGGTTGGTCCCTATAACACCCTAGTCTAAGCAACACATTGCGAAAGCGGTGCTAGCATTCTAGGAGACAGAGATACGTTGCGACCGGGTCTGCATTTGCTTACTTGGACAACCTCTACTCTGTCGTTATTGTTGGACCTACCAAGAGTAACCCGACGGAAGAGGGTCTAGAGGGAAGGAGAAAGTGCCCAGAAGGACGAAGAGGGTGCAAGAAGGAGGGCTAACAAGAGTAACCCGACGAAAAAGAGACAAGAGGGAAGAGGAAGGACAAAGAGGAAGAAAGGAAGGACAAAGACGAAGAAGGTGCAAGAAGGAGCAGTCCTGCTCACATAGTGAGTGAAGAAACTCCCCCCCCCCCCCCCCCCCACAATGCCATCATCCCTTAACTCCCAAATGGCATCAGCAATCGCAAACTACGACCAAAGCGACGACGAATCTAATTCCGAGTTAATAATCGAAGGAAGCCTGACACCAACAAGCAATGATCAAGGAAAGGCCTCGCCTCAAAGGCAACTGACAATGGGACCAAACCAAGATCAACATGCTGATTACAACACAGTAAAACGAAAGCAGTTCAAGAATGTGCCCAAAGGGCAACCGACAATGCATTCAAAAAACTGGCAAGACAATCTTGATGACGCTTCGCCTAAAAGGCAACCGACAATGGAGCAAAGTCAAGCAACTAATCGAAAGCGCAAAGCCGAAGAATCACACGCTCAAAGCAACAAAAGACTAAACATCAAGAACATTATCTACATAAGCTTTGCAAAAGACAAAATTCCAAGCCGAATGACTTTCACCAAATCAATACGTAACCTGACTAAAGTACAATATCCTGGTCAAACCAGGGACCTCAAGACTGGCCTAGGCTATTCAATCAAGCCTGAATCGCCTCAAATTGCCCAAGTTATCACGCAAGCCAACCTCGATGACCTGTTTCCCGACACAGAAGTAAAAATCGGAGGCAGACAACACAAGACAAACCAACCCAAGAAGAAACAAACTTCCAGCTTTGTTATCTCAAGAGTCAGTGAACAACTCAGCGAAGCTGACATCAAATCTGAACTTGAGGAGATCAACAACATCAAGGTAGCAAAGCTCTTCCGAATCCAAAGCAGAAGCCTAGACAAGCCAACACAACTCATCAGAGTTTTCACAGATGATGACCTCGGCAGTAGAAAGGCAATCGACAATGGGGTCTACATCTGCAACGAACTGAAACGATGCGAAGCATCCAAAACAGAACCACGAGTAACACAGTGTTACAAATGCCAAAATTTCGGCCACATGGCCATTAACTGTCCGAACCAACAACGATGCCTCAGATGTGGCGAAAACCATGCAGTCAGAGACTGCAAAATTCCAAAGCAGCAAGCTAATTGCATCAACTGCAGAGGCGAACACCCGGCGCAGTACAAAGGCTGCCCGGTTTACAAGTCAGCTCAAGTCGAAGCCCAAAAAGCACAACCAAAAGTGCAAAACTACGCTCAAGTAGTCAAACCACTACCAACCACAACCGAAACACAACCAACCATGAGCAAAGAGGACATACAGCAGTTCATTAAAGAAACTGTTGAAACTACAATAGCCGATCGAGTCGAAAAAGCAGTGCAGAAAGCCATGGACGAAAAGATAACCGATGCAATCACCAAAGCTGTCGCTAAATCATGTGAGAAAATTAACGAAACAGTCAGCAATGCAGTCAAAACTCAATTCGAGAAAATAGATTTCACTGAACTTTTAACATCAAATATAAAAGCAAAACAAAATACAAAAACACACAGAGAAGCAAGCAGCAGCAGAATCATAACTCCCGAAATCACAACTCCCGAAATCATAACAACAACAATAAACCAAAATGAATAGACTCAAGATAGCGCAACTCAACTGCAGAAGTATAAACAAGCACAAACTGGAGATCCAAGATCTTCTAGCGAAACACAACATCACTATAGTCTGCTTCAACGAAACAAAAACCAAACATCCACCAAAACTACAAAACTTTAACCTTGCAGCGGCAATCTGTGACAGTGTCACAGGCTCGGCAATTTACATCAGAGACAACATACAGTACCAAGTACTGGAACAAGCACAACACATAAACCAAAACCACAGAGAATGCAGAAAAGTATGCGAGACGATCAAGATCAACACAATGGGTATCATTGTAACAAGTGTTTACCTTAGCCCAAACGCAGAGATAGAGAACGTGACTTTCAATGGAAAAGATCCAAAGCACATCATCGTTGGAGACTTCAACGCACAGATCAAATCTGTCAACCCAAAAGCAAGAGCAACCAACAGCAACGGAAGAGTTGTAGACGCTCTCATGCACAACTACTTCATCTTGAACGGTTCCGAACCAACACACCAAAGTGACTCAGTCCTAGACTTACACTTTGCATCACCAAAAATGGCTTGCTTATGCACGAACTATGAAGTGTCAGACACAACACCAAGCGATCACTACATGACAATTGCAGAGTACGAACTAACTGTTCCAAAGAGAACATGCACAAAACCAAACTGGCGAAAATTCAGAGGTACAGTAACGAACTACAAGTTCAACCCTGACTCAATCAAAACTGACGAAGGTCTAGCTCGAGAAGCTGACCAGATAGCCAAACACATTGACAAGTGCTACCAAGGCAGCCTAAAAGAACACAAGCCCTAATTCACGAACCCACAACTAGTCGAACTAGTCAGAAACAAACACAAACTTGAACGACAAAAACAAAAGATGAGACGATATGACCAACAAGACACCAGTGACTACAAAGACCTATGTACAAAGCTAAACAAAACAAAGAAAGACATCAGACAGCTAAAACAGACAGTAGAAGAAGAAAACCAACTCAAACTACTCAGTGAAATGAACAAAGGACCAACACAACAGAATTTCTGGAAAGCAGTAAAAAAGCTCACAGGCACAAGACCTAAACGAACGAGTAAACTGAAAATGACAAATCATGACGCTGCGAACCACTTCGCTAAGATGCTCAAAGCAAACATGACGACAAATATAACAAACTCTCAGGCAGCTCTAACGCATGAACAGGAAGTACATGACAAGGTGTCCCACGCGAAAATCCAAGACTTTCAACTGGAACAGACAGGTTTTGCACAAACAGAAATTAGCTTAAAGCAACTCAAAGACGTGATCAATCACAGAAAAAACACTGCCCCAGGACAAGACAAAGTTAGCTACAAAGCGATGAAAAACCTGCCCATCAACGTACTAGAAGTACTAAGACAAATCATAGTACAATCGCTGAGAAGTGGCTACGTTCCTTTAGGCTGGAAACAAGCGACAGTATCAATGTTACCAAAACCCGAGAAAGACCACAAAGATCCCAAGAACTATAGACCACTCTCACTTACAAGCTGTATCGGGAAGATCTGCGAATGTTCTGTCAAAGAGCAGCTGCTAGTACACTGCGAAGATCACGAAATCTTCGGACACTTTCAAAGTGCATACCGAAGCAAACGATGCACCACCGACAATTTACTCTGTCTAACAGAGACAATCTATAAAGAGAATAACTGGAAGCAACCCGTTGCAGCAGCATTTCTGGACGTGCAACGAGCTTTTGACTCTGTCTGGCACGAAGGCTTATACTACAGACTACTAGAAATCAACTGTCCGAAGTGGATTGTAAAATGGACCAAGAGTTTTCTGACAGACCGAGAGTTAACAGTAGTATACCACCAAGCCAAAGCCGACAGTTTCACACCCAGTGCAGGAGTACCACAAGGAAGTGTAATCAGTCCAATTCTTTTCAACATCTATGTAAGCAAACCAGATGCAGGTCTAACAACAATATCACAATATGCCGACGACATAGCAATTTACACAAGTTCAAACACAAGCAAGAATGCAACACACAGACTACAAGGTGGCCTAAACAAACTTGAAGCATGGTGCCAGAAATGGAAGATAGACGTGAACCCGGAGAAGACAAACTTTATACTTTTTACAAGACACAAGAAGAATGACTGCAAATTAATGCTACAGAACGAAGAGATCGAACCATCAACAACCACTAAATTTCTTGGAATTACATTAAATAACAACCTGACATGGAAAGACTATCTACAAAGAATTGAAGACAAATCGACAAGGAAAATAAATTATCTACTAGTACTACGAGCCAAAGGCATCAAATCCAAAGTCTTAAAGTTTTTGTACCAATCAACAATTCTACCAGTACTCACATACGCATCACCTTCGTGGGCAAACGCATCAACAAGTCACTTACAAAGATTGCAGAACAGAGCACTAAAAATAGCCTACCATCTACCAGTACTAACACCAACAGAGGAAGTACATAAAATCACCAGGATGAAGACGATTCAAGAAGAACTAACAAGACTAAACTCAAATTACCTCAAAAGAGCTGCACAAACAAACCCCAAGATACAAGAACTTATCCGAGACACTCTACCACAATCAACAGACACATACGCACACAGACTCACACCAATGCAAGCAATTTTCCAACAACACCTTTCCGCAAGATGAACAACACCCGGAAGTTAACAGCTTAAAGAGCAGCAGGTCTGCTTCAGAAGCTTAACTGGTCACAGACCAACACATACTTACACGGAGTAAAGTCAATCGTCAATCTACAGCTTCTACCACAACAGCTGCAACTACAACACAATGTCAGAAAAAGGAGGAAAATCGAAGAGCGGCAAAGTTGGAGCCAAGGCCAAGACCCGATCAAGCCGAGCTGGACTGCAGTTCTCTTATGGAAGAATCCACCGATTCATCCGCAAGGGCAACTACGCTGAGCGAGTTGGCGCTGGTGCCGTGCTCGAGTACGTGACTGCTGAGATCCTTTAGCTGGCTGGCAACGCTGCTAGAGACAACAAGAAGTCCAGGATCAAACCCGGACACTTGCAGTTGGCCATCAGGAACGACGAAGAGTTGAACAAGCTGTTCCTCGGAGTGACCATTGCTCAGAGTGGTGTGCTGCCAAACATCCAGGCATCCTAGCCAAGAAGCAATCTTTGTCTCAGCCCAAGTCTGACAAGAAGTAAAGAGCTTCTACCTCTGCCAGTTGCTAGCTCTCAAGCTTCAACACCAAACCGGCCTTTTTAAAGGACACCAATCTACTAGTTCTATCTACGCGTAGTACTAATTTATAGTAATTAAAGCAAATTTTGTTTTATGTCTGGTGCAAGGCTAGTTTTTTTTACAAAAAAAAGGAGCTATTCACCAGCAAAAAAGTAGGCAAAGTATGAAAATGAAAAGTTTGTAGAATCGTAGCTGCATCAAGCGAACTCTGTTTATTTGGTTAAATTACTTGTGATTTTGTATCCTGCGACAAACAACTTATCAGCTGTGTTACTATAAGACTTTCTCTGCGACGGTTTCCTAATGACTTTGTTATTATGTCCGAGCAACCTAATAAACATTACCAAGTTCAAATCACTGAGGCCAACCTATATGTGCGCAAAATGACAGTAACAGATTATGTACTGTCATCGATAGAAAAAACCCTGTTGAGAACAATCGCAATATACAATTATATCGAAGTTTTACCAAGAACTTTTTTCACCACAACTGGCGAGAAGAAGACGTTTTACCCAAAGAGCCAGTTCGTCGAATGATTTTGGCAATGAGCTCGAATACAGCAACCCTGGGAACTAACCGAACAAACCCATTTCATTATCAAAAATTTCAGCTGAATGAAATCATTGTTTACCGAAACGGTCTACCAATTGCTGTGTCAATAACTGATAACAAAAGAATATACTATAACACATTGGAGGCTCTAGACTTTTAACAATAGTCATGGAATCAGTTTGGCTAATTATCACAATCATTATATTAAGGCAATTGATCTCACATCTACTCAGGAGGCTTCACATGCCTTTTTTCATCCTGAACGGACCAATTGAACCATTTCAGTAGAACTGCAGTTTGATGCACCGCTGGGGGAAAACCTAGAGTTACTTTTCATGGGAGAGCGTGCATCAACAGTTTACGTGCGTTCCGTTAGAAAAATAGCTAAAAACACTCTTAATGAATTATATCGGTAAAAAAATTGACAATTTGCAGATTACTGAGCTTATTAACCGATGCAAGCTTTTGAAACATCGATTTCGCGGCGTTTTTCCCACTAACTTAGCATTTAATACAATATTGAAACGCGACAAATTTTTCTTGATAGTGAACGCATCAAACTCAGACCAGCCAGGAACTCATTGGTTACTGTTTGCTCAAGCTGGTGGTCAAATCTTTTTGCAGATCCTCTTGGACGAAGCCTACACAACTATCCTTATGTATACAAAAATATGAGACGTTCTATCCATGAGGGAAACCAAATACTGATGAATAAGCCAATCCAATCAGCTAACTCGGTCTTGCGCGAACTTAATTTATTTATGTTGCTCATGTTATAATTTCATCTAAATTTCCTATAGGTTTCAAGGTTTACGACCATGACATGATGCGTTTTGCTAGCCATATGATGTTATAACTTTGTGATACTGATGCATTTCTTTAATGATTTATAATTTGTTTTTTTTTTAAAAAAAAACAAGATTTATGGTTGCTAGAGCACTTGGCTCTGGCGTTATCACAGGCTCCAAAAATCGTTTTTGGAATTTAAATTTTTTCCATTATAAATTAAACAAACAAAATTTGAATCAATCTCTAAACGACCATACCCACTCAAAATAATATCAGTATTTTTAGAAAACTCGGCGGCATTATCAACATTCAAAACATTAATGAAGCGTTCAATTGTTACATTAGTGAATAAATCAGTTTGAGTTTGAATGGATCGAGTTTGTGAAGCAAAGCAAACTTGTGGCAATCTTCTTCGTAGAGAAGCACCACCAATGTCAGTTGAGTTGTTAATAGAATTGTTGTAGTTGACACCAATTTTTTTATTTTTTCATCAGGGGTCCCGATCGGTGAAATTTACTGCAACCCAATATTACATGATTGAAAGATGAGAGTAGACAAGGTACAACGAAAATGGTTGAAGTCATCTTGTTCACTACGTCGACACAATCTTTTGTTACTTCGATGAGAACATGGATGTGGGGAGAGGCATTGTCGAGCAATTGGGCGCAATAATCGTTGTGAATTGAATGGGCTGCAAATGCAAAATTTGTGTTTAGAGTGAGTTGTGAGGTGTCAAGTTCATTGTTCAGAATAAAAAATTTTTAGAACTTTCGAATTTTTTTTAAAAAATCAGGCGACTGCTCATACATTGCTTCAACCAATCTGCTGGTTAAATCAAATTATTCAGGCAACATCAAATTTTTCTGTTTCAGGCAACTCTACACCCTTTATGGTTCGAGTATTCATCATCCGCCTCGTTTTCATCACCATTTTCAGCACATTTTTTTTCGGGACGGACTGATCGGTTTGACGTGTATCGTCTTTTATGATGTTTATCATTTACAGTTGAGGAGGATGAGGAGGAGGAAGATAAATTCTTTTCACCAGTTTGCTTTTTTTAACCATTTTTTTAATCTTTGGACAATTATCTGCCAAACAATCAAATTCTCTTGTCGTTAAGGTCACTGCTTGACAACACTTAAAAACACCGTCTTCATTCTTTTTATACAACTTAACTGTGATAAATGTACCAGTTTAGTCAAAAGTTTCCGTTCCAGCTCGTACAATGCGTTTTTCTCCCGAAGATATATCTTGAAAATCATCGTAAAAGTCTGTATCATTTTCTAGCGACGAGTACATAGGGGTGGTGGTAACGTTAGTGACTGATTGTTTCAACTGTTTTATGAGAAAGTAAAATGAATAATGAATTGGATAGAAGATAAACAAATCTCTATTTTAAACCTAAGCTCCAAGAGGGAACATCCAATTAATTTTAGTGGTTAGAAATTTATGAGGCATATAAACTTTTATTACACGTGCCATTATTGTCTGGCACTCCTTGAGTAGCCTGTAAATCAGCATATACGTTCACGTCGGTACACGTGTAATTCCTTTGATGTGGTCAGCTGCATGCCTGAATGTCTAGGAGGCATATAAAACAGGATTAAGGTTTTTCTTTGAAGTATACTTATTCCTACCTAACTGGAGGGTTAGAATAATACTTTTCAAAAATTTTAATCTGATTGCCAGCCGCACATGCAGCCGCACCTTTCTCACCCACACATTACTCTAGCTTTTGCATAAATCTGAGTTGGTTTCTTTCTCTCAATTCTTTTTAAATTTTCGATCAGAAGCTTAGTTTGTCAAAATAATTCTAAACTTAAAATGACCGCTCCTCTACAAATCATTTTCATCTCAGATAATGACAGTACAAAAATCGTCCAAAGTTATACGAGAGAATCAGTTGCCATTGTGCAGCAGCAGAGAGAGAGGCTAGCATCCTCTCCATTCAACGACCTCGCCGCCAATCAACAATGGCAAGAGTGGTCAACGAAGAGTCATATAATGCTGCCCAACTATGTGCTCGATCACATTGACCTTCTTCGCCAGGAGCGTAAGCGGATGTATGAAAGCCCTACAATCCATCAATCCTACCCGGCTCTCGATCAGTCTCCAAGATATGGTGGCAAAAAAATAGCGCACCTGATTGGTGAAGGACACATATCAAGTTGCAAGCCTGTTCGGAGAAAAATTTCGTGTCTCCAATCGTAATCCCAGAACGAAAAGCGGGAGATTTCTATTTTACTACATTGGACTTCACGTATGCATACGGACAAGCAGCATTAGATAAAAAACCGGTAAACTGTGCAATTTTTCATTACTAGGGGAAAATCGATGGGAACTTGTCGCTTCAAGAACTGGTTTTATGGGCTTACTTCAATGCTGACGGAATTTCAGAAAATTATAAAAAACCTACTCACCGAATTTCTTCAAGCGAACGCTTTCATAGACAACATACTCGTCGTGTCTAAGGGAGCTAAAATCGAACCCACGCATAATTGGATAAAACTCATAAAAAAACTTGATGTATCGAATGCCTTACCAAAGCTACGGAATTGTGAATTTGCGAAAACGAATGTGAATGGCTAGGCTTTAAAATCGGGAAAGTATTTACACCGCTGGTTCGAAAAACCCAAGCGGTCGAAGATCTAAATCCCCTCAATTCTAGAAAACAGTTAAAGTGACTAATGGGATCCTTACACAGCCTACAAAATTTTTTACCGAACCTAGCAGAAGTTAGTTCTTCACTTCGACCGTTGTAGAGCCTAAATAATGATTCCATCTGGACGCCGGCATGCGACAACGCGTTTCAACATCTAAAATGGCTGGTTAAGACTCTTGTGGAAATCAAAATTTTTGATATATACCGGGTAACTCCCATAGTATGCGGCGCTAGTCACGTTGGTTTGAGGGCCGTGTTAGAGCAGTACGGTTCGAATGGGTGGCACCCAATATCATTTACTTCAAGATACCTCATCCCGGCAATGAAAAAAATGCTCAACGAAGGAACTCGAACTACTAGCTGCAGTGTGCGCAACCGAACATTCTCGCAATTACGTTTACGGTCGATACTTTACAATCATATCGGATCTTAAAGCATTATTAACCATGTTAAACTCGTCCCCATAGGGAAGTAAGTTATTTTTCAGCAAATTAACTCGCTGATAAGATCGCTTAATACCTGACAATTTTAACGTAGGACATTGCCAAGGGTCAATAATGGGTATGGCCGATAACTTATCACGTTTTCCCTCAGCGGCGTTATCGGAAACATGTCATCATGACGAAAATTTTACAGTAGCTAGAATACGGATGATTAATGAGGCATTATTTCCTCGGGACCAGTTAAATCCTAGGGGTCAAACAGTGAACAAAATTCAAAAAATACCGGCGGTAGAGGGCGTCCGAACATGCGTTGGATCACGCAAGAGATTCATATTCAATAGCAATCAGAAAAAAAATTGAATATGCAGTTCCAAAACTGACGCAAAAACTCACAAGAGGGCGTGGTTGCATGCAACCGACAGAAAGCCAACCAGAGGCGAGATATTTGCATACTGAGGGATATCTACAAACAT